ACACACACACAAAACCCTACCCACCAAATGTTTACATCTGTGTGAGGAAAATGGGGGGGAGGGGGAGGGATTACTCTCAGTATTTTGTGACTGAACATACAATAATGTTCATAATTTCAAATGTATCCATAGCTTTCCAAAAAGGTTGGAGAACCCCACCACTTGTTAAGTCATCACAATTGATGACTAGACCAGGGGTCTCCAACCTTGGCAACTTTAAGCCTGGAGGACTTCAACTCCCAGAATTCCCCAGCCAGCCAGGCTTAAAGTTGCCAAGGTTGGAGACCCCTGGACTAGACTGCTTCTTTTCCAAAGAGGACTTGCCACATGCTTTGCCAGTATTTGAATCTCATTTTAAAATAATGAAAATGAACACCATTTTTTAAAATCACCATGCCCTAGTTTTAGAACCCTGGGTCCCTTTGATATACCCATCCAGTAGGCTTTTGACACAATGGGTATTTGAGTATGTATTTTAAATTCTAATTTTAGACCTAGGATTCTGAGCAATACCACTTGATTATTTCTTCTCATTTATTGTTTTGTCATTTTGTGAGCTGCACAAGTTAAAAACCAAGATAATATTAACAAGATCTATAAAGAAAAATAGGTAACACTTCCTATGTAAGGAGTTCTGTTTAAAATAAGGAATGCATGTATGTCCCTTCTTAAAAAGGGGCTTCCCGGTGGCCACCACCCACTCCCTCCCAACATCAGATTTATCATTGACTCACTGGGATGCAGTCTGTCTTCTTTCAATGAACTTCATCACCTGATAAAAATAAAAGAGAAAATCGTTTGCATACAGAAATAAAACTGGAGTTTGCAGAAGAGCTACTAAAACAAGGGGCTGTTAGTATCACAAAATTAGTATAGTGACATGCTTCAATTTTGCACCTATAGCAATTAGACTTATATACAGCTTCACAGTGCTTTATAGCCCTCTCTAGATGGTTTACGAAGTCAGTATATTTTGGACACATTTTGTAAGTTAGCACATTTGAAGATATTCAAAAATTGTTGTCCCATGAAGCAGATTGTTGGGGACAATAAGCTGACTCTGAAAAGCAGGGGTGTCAAATTCGTGTCGTCATGATGTCATGACATGACTTTTTTATCCTTTGCTAAAACAGGCATGGGTGTGGCCAGACTATGACGCATCTGTGCCGCAGGACGCGAGTTTGACACCTCTGCTGTAAATTGTTTAGAGCGTGCTGTAAAGCTCAACGGGAAAGCTTTGCAATTGCTAAATGTAGTCCAGAATACTTAAATTTTCAGAAAAGAATATTCATCAGTTTACCAATATGGTATGCTGTATACCAGCAAAATCAGTTAAGCAAACATGTACCTGGTCAAATCTTGTAGCAAAAAGATTGAGGGATGTCACAATGCCACCATTTGGGCCCAGTGCATATCTGGAGCTAGGTCAGGAAAAGTTGAAGAACTCCAATTCACTGGGTCAGCATATTCCCCAGCGCAATCCCACAAGAGATCAATAGAAAGCTATACTACAGAGTCAACCACGAATGGAACAGCATGTATATAGCAATATACACACAAATCAATAAAAAGTGGTAATACTACATTTTGAAGAAATAGCCAAATAAGGCAAGGATACTGCTTCATGACTTCTTTGTAATTCACTGTGTCCCGGATATCTTAAAAGAAAGGGGAAAAAAAAGGAAAACAGAGAGGATGGAAATTATACAAAGCCTGATTTTAAAACAAATTTAAAAGGAACCTATCTTATTGTTGGTTTACTCTCTTGCTTGAATAAACAGAACATAATTTACCTTTAAATGTAACATCCTCCCCATTTTTTTCTACTTTCTCAACACTTGTTCATCATGTTAAGTGCAGCTCTAATATTTCCTTAAGACTCTCTAAATCAGGGGCGGGCAAATATGGCCCCTTTATGACCTGTGGACTTCAACTCCCAGAATCCCTGAGCCAGTTTGGCTGTCTCAGGAATTCTGGGAGTTGAAGTCCACAGGTTGTAAAAGGGCCACAGTTGTTCACCCCTGCTCTAGGTAATTTCATCCGGGTAAATATGGAAATCATAATCTAAACACACAGATTTCCAATCGATCCTAAGCAACTTTCAGCAATTATTTAAAATTAATATTATAGACTAATGTATGCAAGTCTAGTCAAGTTTAGTCATCCATTCCAGAGATGGGTTTCAGCAGGTTCTGGAGAACCGATAGCAGAAATTTTGAGTAGTTCGGAGAACCACTAGTAAAAATTCTGATTGGCCCCACCCCCATCTATTCTCTGCCTCCCAAGTTCCAGCTGGAAATTTTACAGTATCCTTCCCCTGGAGTAGGGTGGGAATGGAGATTTTACAGTATCCTTCCCCTGACATGCCCACCAAGCCATGCCACGCCCACCAAGCCATGCCACGCCCACCAAGCCACACCTACAGAACCAGTAGTAAAAAATGTTGAAACCCACCACTGATCCATTCGTATTAATATGATCTAGTTCAATGTAATCAATTCCTTAAAACAGAATAAAATCTACCATTTATTCCCTTGTTTTATACAGAACAAGCCTGCAAATACTGAGCTGCTCCAATTATGCTCTGCAATCATAAGGAGAGTTATTACCTTCTCACATTTTACAGTAACTCCATTCAGTTGGCAATGGTAAAGGAATAGTAGCATCCCTGTGTGGGGTACTGGATCTATGGCATCTACAATTGGGGGAAGGCGAAGGAGCAACCATGCCCATATAGGTGGCCATATGGGCTAAACGTATGGCAGTTTACACAGTGTGTAGTTGCTTGGATATCTGCAGTCCTCAAATTTTACTCTGAACCAAAGATTTACAGACTTCAACAGATAATTAGAACTGCAGAAAAAACAATTGCTACCAACCTGCCTTCCATTGAGGACCTGTATACTGCACAAATCAAAAAGAGGGCTGTGAAAATATCTACAGACCCCTCGGATCCTGGACATAAACTGTTTCAACTCCTACCCTCAAAACGACACTATAGGGCACCGCACACCAGAACAACTAGACACAAGAACAGTTTTTCCCCGAATGCCATCACTCTGCTAAACAACTAATTCCCTCAACACTGTCAAATAATTTACTAAAGAGTGCATTATTATTATTATTCTCTTCTATATTAGTATCTATCTCTTCCCACTTATTACTATAACCATGTTGCTTGTATCTTTCAATTTATATTGTTTTTGTTTCCTAGTACGATTTGACAGCTTATTAGTAACCTTGACTAGCACGAAGTGTTGTATCTTTTTATTCTCGATGAATGTATTGTATTCTCCTTATGTACACTGAGAGCATATACACCAAAGACAAATTCCTTGCGTGTCCAATCACACTTGGCCAATAAAGAATTCAATTCAATTCAATTCAATTCAATTCAATTCAAAAGTCACGTCACCTCACGTCACGGCTCTGCTCCTGCTTCTGCTCTGCTCTGTTCTTTATTGGTTCAATTTATATGCCGCCCTTCTCCTGAGACTCAGGGTGGCTTACAATGCGTTAAGAAATAGCCTTCATACTTTTGTATATTCCTGCTTAGTAGGGCTTTCGCCCCCCCCACAAGCGGTGTTCTTTTTATACAAAGTCATCTTATTACCCCACAATCCGGGTCCTCATTTTACCTACCTCGGAAGGATGGAAGGCTGAGTCAACCTTGAGCCTGGTGAGATTTGAACTTGCAGTAATTGCAGGCAGCTGGCAGCTAAGTGCTACTTTAACAGCACTTTAGTCGGCTGCGTCACCAAGGCTCCCTATTCCCATTCCCATTTCCATTCCATTCCATTCTATTCTAATAAATACTCTCATATTTTTCTAAAGAAAATAACTTTGGCAAAGCCCGTAGACCATCACCGTATGTACTCACCGATATTGGCCTGGAAAGGCAGCTCATAAACTGCGGGGTCCAGATTGATGACATACGGAGGAGAATTCTTACTATGCAGGTAGGCATTCAGTCTCTATGGAAAACAAACCGTAGGTCAGTTCAAAGGAAGCCAGCAAGGGCCTCCTTCCCCCGGGCCGATCCCCCCCCCCGCACTTCCCTTCCCGCTCCGCCCGCACCTGCACCAGCGCCGTCTTGCCAGAGCCAGCCATTCCCAGCACCAGGACGCATATTGGGGCTCCGGATGCAGAACTCGCTGCCCCACCGGCAGCTGCCATTTTGCCGCCGTTTCATCCGTTTTCTTTTGACTTCCGGGGCTTTCTCTGGCTCAATAAAAAAGGGGGGAAAGGAAGCTGAGCTTCTTGACCATAGAGATGCGAAAAAAAAGAGAGAGAGAGAGACGTTGGAAAAGAAGAACGACTCCACAGACATCGCCTCCCTTGGTGGGGCATGGGAATTATTCGAATAGTTTTCCTCAAACACCCTCCACTGAACGGGCTTCTCCTCTCGGAAAATTAGGCTGCCCGAAGAAACAGCACCGCCGTATTCTTCTTGTACCCTTAGAGAACATTTTCAAAGATGCCACCCTGACATCGGCACCGGCCTGAGTCTTCCTACGCCTCATTCTTCCCCGAGAGGAGATAACGGCCTATTTTCTGTCCACAGCACAAGGGGTGGGAGGAAACGATGGCCCCTATTATTGACTTGTGGAACTTCAACTCCCAGAATTCCTGAGCCAGCCATGCTACTATTCCCTGCTGGCTCAGGAATTCTGGGAGTTGAAGTTCCAACAAGTCAATAATAGGGGCCATCGTTTCCCCACCTCCGCACAATATTCCTGATGAACTTTGACCCACCAATCCTTTTCAACATAGAGCTGCGATACTTAGAATGGGCGATTCTAATGTACCATCGTGGGGTGTGTGTGTGTGGAGGTTTCTAATCGTAAGAAACCCCCCTCCCTTCTAAGAAAAGGCAGCGGGCGGAAGAGAAATTATGTTCTTAGAGAATGGTGGGGGGGGGGGAAGCGGCGCTTGCGTCATGAAACTTCGCGTCACCTAGGCAACCAGGAAGGGGAAACAATCGCCTCACCTCTTTCCGCTTCCTCTGTGGCTCGAAGGGGGGAAGGACTTGGTCGTCGGGCTGGGTGTCGTTTTTTTTTTTTTTAAAGGACCTCCTCCTTTTGCGTGGCTCTCTAGCTTCAAGAGATTCCATTTCCGTGATCCTCGGGATCCCGCGCCGCGATCGCCGCGCGGGGAAAGCAACCTGTCGCAAAGGTGAGTCATACGGGGGGGAGGTGGGGGTGGCGGTGGCGGCGGCTGCTGGGAAGGAGGTCGGAGCTCCGCATGTTCCCTTAAGCGAGGAGTCCGTTAGAGAGAGAGAGAGAGAGCGAGAGAGAGCGAGGCTCGTGGCCCTTTTGGAGCCGAGACTGCGTAGTTTTAGCCAGCCGGCCGCCCACTCCCTCGTTTCTGCCCTGCTGGAACCGTCGGTTTTCCGCGGTGTTTTCCCTCTTGGGTTAAGGACGGCTCGCCGAGCGCGTTTGTACGTTTTCCCACCTATTTAACCGAATGCTTAGCCTACTGTTGGATTTCGGGGGTCTCTAACGTATTATTTACACGGCGTTATTTTGTTTTCTTCGGGTCGGTTTTTTGATTCCTGGAGCCCTTTTTATGGCAAGGTTTTTCCGGAAGTGGTTTGCGATTACAGGTCGTCCTCAACGGTTCGTTTAGCGACCGTTCAAAGGGTGACGACAGCACTGTGTGAAAACGTGATTTATGTGACCGTTTTGTCACAGTTCCGATTTTTTGCAGATCGATTAAAAAAAATTCAGAGGCTTGGAACCTGATTCATATTTATGACGGTCGCAGTGTCCCCCGATTTGCCTTTGGTGACCACCTGCCCAGGCAAAGAGCGATGGGGAAGCCAGGTTCACTTAACAACCAAGTGACTAACTTATGAACTGTAGTGATTCACTTAACAAGTGTGGCAAGAAAGGTCCTAAAATGGGACAAAACTCACTGAACCAATATTGGTCTCACTTAGCAACATAATTTTGGGACTCGATTATGTTTGTAAGTCAAGGACTACCCGTGCTTCTTTCCTAGGGCTTAGAGAGAGTGACTGACCCAAGGTTACCCAGATGGCTTTGTGCCTGAGGTGGAATTAAAATTCATGGTTTTCCCATTTCCATGCAAATGCTGCATCCTTTGATAGTGCATCAAAGTGGTTCTTCTATCGCATGTAGCTCTCGAAATTTTAGGTAATGTGCATAGAACAGCGTTTCTTAACCTCGGCACCTTGAAGGGTGGACTTCAACTCCCAGAATTCTCCCACCAGCTAGCCTGGTAGGGGGATTCTGGGAGTTGAAGTCCACCCATCTTCAAGCTGCCAAAGTTAGAAACACTGGCATGTAAACGGAGCAATCATTGGATGTGTTCAGGCAGAGACTGGATAGCTATCTGCTAGGAATGCTTTCATTTTATATTAGTAATATAGCAATAGCACTTATATACCGCTTCATAGTGCTTTACAGCCCCCTCTAAATGGTTTACAGTGTCAGCATATTGCCTCCCCCAACAATTTGGGTCCTCATTTTACTGACCTCGGAAGGATGGAAGGCTAAGTCAACCTTCCTCTGTTCATAATGATAATTTTCATAGCTTGCCTTTCAGCAAGGTGCACAACATATAGCCAGTTGAAAAATAATTAAAACTTAAGACAACTAATAATTACAGACCTTTGTACAGTAAAAATTTAGAAAAAGCATAGTTAATGAAACCAATCAATTTATGGCTACCAAAGCTCAGGTTCCATGTTCTTCCAAAATTGCCAATAAAATACATTGTTTAAAAAAAATCTGTAAAATAGTAACAGTTAAAATCTACACGTAACCAGATGGTTTATGTCTGTCAAATAGGGGATGGGACTCTGTGGTTAAAAGACCTCTCTCAGTTCAAGGATTATATCAGTAATCAGTTCTGAAGGAACAGCATTTATTTAACTTCAGCTTTAATTCAAAGTGCTACTTAGTTAGAAATCAGTTGTTTCATGGGGGCGGGGGGCACTATGGAAAGGTTTTTTGAAGTCGCCAAAGAACTCAGTAAAGGATTGGAGAACTCAACCTCTTATAATTTCTGTTTATATGCTCTTTCCAATAATAAACACACTGATTATCATCTGAAGTTGTTTCGACACTTTGGCTGCAATGTTCATTGAATTAAACCATTTTTTCTGAGCTTGCATGAATTGAACCACAAGTTGACCACATAGGCAGACCCAATATTAAAAGTAGTGAAGTAGTGAAGCTTAGCGTGTGCAAATGGCATCTGCCAGATTTATATGTGGCTTGATGAGGTACTGTATGAATAGTGATGCTTTCTCCTCTTCTCAGAGCCAGCAATTAGAGGGACAGGCCTTGGACATAATGAAGCCATTCGTGGGCCAGGTACTGATTTGAGATGAAAGGGATGAAGCCTTCTGCCAAGGCTGTTATGGAAGAGGAGAAGAAAGGTATGGATGAGTTTTGAAGATAAACAAAATAGTGGCCATAATGGAACTTATGGGTTTTATTTATTTATGTATAATGTGTGCTAGTTTTATGTTTTTATTGGATATATTGTAAACCATTGGGAATGTTTGGGAGAATCTGGTGGGAAATTAGAACCATAAGTGAATGATGATGATGATAATAATAATATAACAAATATATTCGGGGTCTCTCTCTTAGTATTAGAAAGACATTTCTCCATAATTAGAGAGTTGTAAGTTTCTAACAATTTGTTAAAATCATATTCATATATAATAGTCCCATGCAGAAATAGATACTGTTTATAGCATCCTTTGTCTGTGAGTGCAAATGATATGTTCTGTCACTGCTTCTTTTTATTGTTCCTGATTGCTTATTTGTACCCTATGACTATCATTAAGTGTTCTACCTTATGATTCTTGATGAACATATCTTTTCTTTTATGTACACTGAGAGCATATGCACCAAGACAAATTCCTTGTGTGTTCAATCACACTTGGCCAATAAAATTTCTATTCTATTCTATTCTATTCTATTCTATTCTATTCTATTCTATTCTATTCTATTGTATTCTATTCTATTCCTATTCCTATTCCTATTCCTATTCCTATTCCTATTCCTATTCTATTCATTTAATAATGTTAAACTTTAATTATGTGTCAGAGTCTGATTATAAAAGGAAAAAAGAAAGGAAGCAAAAGAAAATTGTCTATGCCTAAAATTGTTATTTACAATGTAACTGCAGCGATGGATACTTTAGCTGGCTAACTAATTGACCTTGAAGTCATGAGCTCAGATAATAAGATTGTTTCTTCTTGGCATTTTTCATAGCCACTTTGTAGTTAGTCTTATTTTATGTTAAATTCAAACTTTTTAAGAGAGACTGGGTAAACAACTACAAAATGTAGATATTAATTGATTGATGTTTTTATTAGGAGAGTTGGTTTAATATAATGGCTGATGTTAGGGTTAGCTCGGTCAATTCTATGCCCATCTTGGGCATGATGCCACCTAGGTGATTTTGGGCTAGTCACTTTTTCACAGCTGTAGCAAAGGAGGAAGTGACAAGACACTTCTAAAAATATTGCCAAGGAAGGTATAGGGACTAGTCCAAGAAGTCACCAAAAGTCAACATTGACTTGAAGGCACATACATACACAAAATCATTTAGGCTATAGTTGCATATGTCTTGAATCTATATTTGCTTTTTAAAATCTATAAACATAAAAAAGCTGTCTTGGTATCTCTCCCAAGCTGGAGATTCCCACTCCAAGGCAAAGCATAAGATGGAACAAGATGATGAAGAAGACTACAAACAACTTCCCAAAAAGAAACAAAAAGTTTCTGGTGAGTAGAGTAGTATTCCCAATTTTCTGTTTGGCATAGATTAGGAGACCACAAATATTTGTTTCCTTTGATGGATTCTCATTTGATCCAGTCTGTGGTTGCTACTTTTGCATATTCTTCTATCTTTCCCTAATGCCAATTTGAGGACCTTCAGTATTTAGGTGAGTTTTTCTCAGGTGTAAATGAAAAATCTCACAATTGCTTGCCTTTCTCCCAGGAAAAAGACAGTCAGTGGGAAAACAACCTAGTCCAAAGTCCAAAAAGTGCTCTAGAAAGTCAGAACCATCAACATATGCGGCAGGTAAGATGCAGAATCCCATAAAAAATTCTTGTAAGAAAGAACATATGAGCATTGTAGAAATAACAGTTAAAAGCTATCACAATTTAGGACTTAACAGTATTGGAAAAAGGCTGATACAACTTTCCATTTTCCAGTAGAATTGAAAAAGACTTGGCATTTTACATGTGCAGCTAAAGAAGGATTACTATACTGCCAAAGTCTTAGTAATAGTATCTATATAAATGTAATACTAAAGATACCTACATAAAGCTATAAGAAGAGAAATCTTACCTAGTGCTTTTCAGGCAAAGGTCTATGGAGATTCTCAGTCAACCAAGTCATGGTTGTCCCAAAGGAGCTTTTTTTCAAACAGCAATTGGACTTCCTTGATTTTTCTTGAAGACATTTCATTTCTCCTCTAAGAAGCTTCTTCAGTTCTAGCTAACTGGTGGAAAAGGAAGGATTTATGATGCTCCTTCAATGGAATGAAACGACAACATTGCTTCTCTTCTCTGTCTGTAGTGAAAGTGTTCCTACTGGATCTTTTTGTGGATTTGACAAAGGTCCAGTTGGGACAGTCGCAAGTTTTGAGTGCTTCGTTGATGTGTTTTTGTTCTTTTTCCTTTCGCTACGAGAAAAGAGGTTGTCCACTCCAAAGACAAAACACCCAGTGAAGTGTTGCATATGCAGTGTAATGCAGTGAGGCATGTGCAGACTTGTACATTGGGGAAACAAAATCTCTTGTTTACAATGCAGTCCTTTCAGCAGTCCCAAGATGGTTCCATACTCATTTGCTTTCTGATTCAGGTACTCTGGAAACACAGATTAAACCCCGAGTGATTTCAATGACTCTCACAGTGTTAACAACTGGCTGATTGAAATGAATATAAATCCTTCCTTTCCCACTTAGAACCGAAGAAGCTTTTCGGAGAAGTGAAACGTCTTCAAGAAAAAGCAAGGAAGTCCAGTTGCCATTCAAAAAAAAAAAAAAAAGCACCTTTGTGACATTTTTCAGGCAAAACTATTTTTGCAGATAATGGCAAAGCAATTTTATTTTGGAACGAAAGATGCCCTAGAGCAGGGGTGTCAAACTTGATTTCATCGAGGACTGCATCAGGGTGTTTTATCTTGGGGGGCCAGGAGAGTGGGGCCAGCTTGACATCACTTGTGTTGGGGGCACTCGTGTTGGGGGCAGCAAAAGTGCAACCCTCTTGAGCTCTGTTTTCGCTGACAGAGGGTTGCAGAAGCTGTCGCAGCCAAAAACATGGCTCTCCAGAGCGCCGTTTTCACTGGCAGAGGCATCACAGGCCAATCCTTCGCTGTTTCCAGGGTGGCCCCCTGAGCCAGATCCAAGCATCCCATGGACTGGATATGGCCCGCGGGCCTTGAGTTTGACAGCCCTGCTCTAGAGGCAAATGGAGCCAATACAAATCTTCTCGGAAGTTCATTAGAACCTATTTCTCTGCCTAGCAAATTGCAGCCCAGATCTTTCTGAGAGAATAGCCTCACTTCTAATCACCTTATAGCTGACTTAGACAAAAGACATATCGAGTCCAATAATGCTTTACCATATTCTTGTTTGATAGAGGAACACATTGGGAGATACTGGGTTGTCTTGCTGGAAATTATTTGACAAAAACTGGCTGGATGTCTATTAATAATGCTCTAAGTTGGATCCTGTATTCATCAAGGTTTGATCTAGATCACTTCCACGATCATTCAAAATTCATTGGCTCTGCTTCCATAAGCAGGACATGAACTTTGTTCCTCTGCAGTGGCTGGAATGTAGAAGTACTCTGCCTCTAATCCAGGAAGTAGCCCATTCAAGCATAGTGAATATATGCTTCCTTTGCCTGTCCTCAATCTGCCAGTCTACTGCACCATGCCTGATTTTGTATTCATATCCCCCTCTTTATTTGCCACTTCTCTAAACTAAATTGCCCCCCCCACACCATTTTTATTGTGCTGGAGGTGCTTTAACCCTGCCATTTTGGTGGTTCTGTTCTGACCTTGTCACTCTTCAAAAGGAAGGCCCAGTTGGGTTACCTACAGAGAAGATTAAAATGTTGAATCATCACCATCCTGTGCTCTGGCAGGAAGCTTAGAAGAGCAGTGGTACTTGGAGATTCTGGACAAGGGCCGTGTCACTTGCCCAATCTGCCGATGTGTAGTGAGGAAGACGGTGGAAGGATTGAAAAAGCATATGGCAAATTGCCACCAGGTGAGGAGATGGGAAATGCAGTCCCTGTGAATTCTGTTAGGACATCCAAAGAAGGTCCAGCTATTCCAACATTTCATCTTTAGTCTGGGTGATCAAGACAGTTATTTCCCTAACACATCCCAAACCATGTTTCCTTTCTCTTTTGAAGTTCTGGTTAGGGCACACCAGCTTATATACAGTGAAATAGTCAGAATGAGATAATATATTAGAATTTTAATTTTATATGTATTTCTGTTGTGACCCTTCCTCTTTATTGATTTTTTTATCAAACGAAAAAATACCAAATACGTATTTCCTCATGCGAAAGAGATCCAAAAGTTGATCATTTTGATTGTTTAGTTATTTCCAGTTCTATACTATTCTTTTTTACCATAACTGCACAATGTAAAAAGTGCAATTGCATGATAAATATGTCCCAAGATATTAGATTTCAGCTTTATTTTAAATAATTCTTCCTTAAATATTTAAAATTTCTCCAAAGGGAAATTCTATTTTATTGTTACTACATATTGAATGAATATTCCCTGGTAAGACATCATTAGTTCAGATTCAACAATGCAAATGTAAGGCCAGGATTTTTCCCCTTTAGGTCCTGTTTCTTCATTGAGTTGTATTTGCCTTTTAGTTTAGTTTGAAATCCATATTTTGAAACATATACATGTGTGCAAGAAAGGTGTTTTAGGTGAAACTCCCCTAATTGTATAGAACAGGGGTCTCCAACCTTGGCGGACTTCAACTCCCAGAATTCCCCAGCCAGGCTTGGAGTTGAAGTCCTCCAGGCTTAAAGTTGCCAAGGTTGGAGATCCCTGGTATAGAATGAGGACATTCTATAATGCTAAGATCAAACATTGTTCAGTACCATTGAATGGAGGGAGAGCTGGGCTAGCACATAACCATTTCAGCTTCAACTCTTGGCTGTCTTAACACTTTCTATTCCTAGGAGATGTTCACATGTCAGCACTGTGGGAAACAGCTGCGATCTCTTGCAGGAATGAAGTATCACATCATGGCAGATCACAACAGCCTGGTATGGTGCAAAAGTATCTATCTATCTATTAAAAAGTCTTGTCTAGGAAGGACCTTGAGACTCCCAGGATAGTCCGCTTGAACATTTAGGCTACCCAGCACTTGGAAATTGGGTGTGACTCCTCTGCAACAACATGTTGCAGTGCTAAAACAATAGCTCAGCGCTTTGTTCCGAAACCCCTGTCAGGTCCCATGCCTCAGCAGCACTGAAAAACAAGAAATTCCTCATGGAGCCCAGTTGGGAGAACGGACTGAGATCCAAGGTCCTCCTGTGACTGACTTGCAGGATTTTAAACTTCCATTGCTTATCTTGTCTCTTCTTTGTAAGGTAAACTTCCTTTGATTTGCTATAAATAATAGCCTTGGGTTAGTCTTTCTCTTCTCTGCTTTTATGTAGCCAATTAGAAAGGAAGCCAGCCAGTTGGATAAGCAGAGCGAGCGAGAGTGTTTGCGGAGAGTCCTGAAGCGCATGGGGAAGCTCAAGTGCACAAGAGAGGTGAGCTTCAGCTGATAAGGCTGTGGGACATTTTTACAGCTCAGATGGAATTTCCCAAATCCCAAGAAGAGTACCTTTGCCTGTTCTTGGGGTGTGGTGGGCCAGGGGATTGGATTTGTCTTCTGGATTTCTGACCATAGATAGGGAAAAAAATAATGCATTTATTTTTTTTTCCCCTCTCTCTCGGGACTCAGGAACTGACCACTGTTTTTCTCTGCCTGCTTCTATAGGGATGTACAGGCAGCTTCACCAGCATAATGGGGTACCTGTACCACACACAGAAATGTGGCAAAGCAGCTGCCGAACTGGAGAAGATGGCCTTAAAATGCCATCACTGCAATAAAGCGTATCGGTCCAAGGCAGGCCTTGTTTACCACTTGAAATCGGAGCATGGACCTGTGAGTTCTTTGGGTACTGAACCAAGGGAGAATGGCTGGGGGAGGAACAGATAAGCTTCTAAGCATCCTTTTAGTCTATCTCTTGACTTCTTCGCCTTCATGAGTCATCATGAGGATTTCAAGTCCTTTTTTTTTCTTTTCTAAAAAGGACATACTAGGGCACAAGATAATTGTGGAATGGGGAGGAAAAACCCGAGGTCCACGACAATATTCAGAAATGCTTTTGTGTCATAGTATTTCTGATTCTATAACACGGGTGTCAAACTGCCCACGTCACATTGCCACCACATGACATATCACGACATTTTTTCCCTTTGTGGAGCTGGGGTAGGCGTGGCCTACGTGTTACACATCCGGGCACAGGCCACCAGATTAATACCCCTGCTCTATAATAAGAATCAATTTTTATCATTCAATCCTCTTCCCAGGTCTTTGAATAGTGTAAACAGGCAGTGACTGAAAAAAACGTTACCTTGGCTTTTCCTGTCAGGTGTCATTTCTCCATGAAGACAGCAGGACAACTCCTCTGAAGGACCCAAGCATGGAATCAAGCAGCATAGGCAGAATCCAGAGGAAGTCTGCTAAGGTGGCTGCCTACTACCTGCATGAATTGGCTAATGAAGAACTTGTAAAAGAGTGGCCAAAGAGGAAGGTCTTGCAGGATCTTGTTCCTGATGATCGGAAGGTACAAGATTTGCATGTTCTAGAAAGAGGGAAATGTCCAAGGTCTCTGTAGCGAAGAAATGAAATACCACAAGTAAAAACTCTTAACTGTTTGAGAAGAGCAAATCGGTGCTTGGGGCACATAGTTTTATTGCAGTTTTGTTACTTCAGATGAGTGGAGCATCCATGGCAACAATTCTATTACTAGCTATGACTGTATATAAAGTTCTGGGGAGAGCTACCTTTCCTTATTCCTTCAGACAATGAGCCTTTCCAGGATGAGAGGAACATTTCCAGTTCTTGAGGTATAATTTGCCCTGGTTTTGAGATTACAAAATAATCCCAAATCTTTGTTTATGACTGGGTATCCAAGCTGATTTATTTACATCCTTCTTGGAATGTTGCATACATGGAGAGAAGCAAAGAAGCACTGTGGATTTGCTATATAATCCTCGGGAACTTATACCTGAACTAAATAGAAGCAGCTGGAAGATTGTTAAATTATTAAATCAACCCAAAGTTAATGCAAGCCAGGCTTTGTTTAAATTATATGTACAAAAGCAGCTCTTCTTGATGAACTTGATGTAATGTTTTCCATGATTTCTGTGGGATATGCAAGACTATTTGGGATGTTTATGATTAGAATTTGTCATTGGAAGGACTTTGTGCATCATTCCCAAGATTTTGGTGACCAGCAGTTATCTGTCCCTTTTGTAGAAGAAATTGGAAGTTCTTAATATGATTTTGTCTGGGTACTCACGGTTTTTTGAAATGTATTTTTTTTTTTAGAATTGTAAACTACCCAGAGTCTTTTTACAAGTTGGGCATCCTTGATATGTAATCAATATAACCCATTCCAGTTGGCTTTAGCCTTGCTAACAGTTTCATGTTAGATTTTTCTAACCCTAACTCTAACCCTAATATGTATAGTTGCTGGCAAATTGAGAGTCGTCTGCCTGAATGTACACTGTGAGCTTGATTAGGTATTGATCTTGCCTGACATCAAAGCTCTTTAAGATGGGATGATTGGCTCGAATACCATAGGTAGAAAGGGCAGCTTCATTTAAAAAGAATATATAGAGATGACAGCACCAGCTCCTGAACTCTAGTTTTTGCTTTTCTTCTGTTCTCCTATCTCAGCTCAAATATACTCGACCGGGGATGCCTGCTGTGAGCCAGGAGGTTCTGTGCAAGTGGAGGTCAGAAATAAAGACCTACAGACGGGTTCATTGCCCCAACCAGGTAACTATAGCCCCCGCCAGGTAAGATTGGATTTGGTGAGCAGGGAGTATGGTTTGCAGTTAAAACTACTGTATTTTTCAGAGTATAAGACGCACCTTTTTCCCCCAAAAAAGAGGGTGAAAATCTGGGTGCGTCTTATACTCCGAATGTAGCCCCGCCCAGCTTCTCAAACGGAGGTTTCAGAGGCTGAAAAAAGCATTAGAAATGAAGCTTCAGAAAAGAAGCCCCCAAACAGAGCTTCAAAGGGTTTTTTTCTGAAGCTCTGTTTCGGAGGCTTTCAGAGGCAAGAAAAAAAGTTTTTTTTGAAATGGAGTTTCAGAAGTTTCAGAGGCAGAAAAAAAAGCATAAAAAGCAAGGCACAGAGCTGACAACCAAGGAACCTGTTGGTAAAATTCACCTCTGGGAACAGCTGATTGGGGGTATTCCAGGAGGCTGATCCACTTGCCAATCAGCTTTTTTCTTATTTTCCACCCAAAAAACTAAGGTGCGTTTTATACTCCGTTGCGTCTTATACTCTGAAAAATACGGTAGTTCTTTTCCCCATCCCAATGTCATTAGAAATGTAGTCCTGATTAACTGCAGTTAACGGGACAGTTTCATCCTATTTCCAAACTGGCCCAATATATAAGACACATCTGTGAAGGGCTCCTTGGAGTCTGTTGCACAATCTGCAGATCTGTGAACCTTTTTTTTAATCTCTCTCTCTGTCATATATCCTCTACAGGCACAAAGGAAAGCCTCTTTCCCAAAAGCACACCAACTGATGAATGGTTTTGATAGCTTGTGTGAAATCCTTTTTTCCTCATAGTTATCGGCTTAGGTCACTCGACCTTTACATAGTGACCCTTATTTCTGTTTTGTTTCTCTCAAGGGTTGTGAGTGTGTCTACGGCAGCATCTCTGGTCTTAAGGCCCATCTGGGCAATTGCACCCTGGTATGTATCAGTTGACAAGCTTGTATGGAGGCCTTTCAGTTGTTGCCAAGAAAAGTCCTAGGAAGCAGGGGAAACTAGGCATATGGTCAATTCCAACATATTTTCTGCCAGACCTGTCTTCTCCAAAATATACATACATATTTTGTATGTAAGACTTTGTCCCCTTAAGTGATATCAGCATGGCTCCCTCACTTAATTTGTGGAAAACATTACCTTTGAGCAGGGGTCTCCAACCTTGGCCACTTTAAACCTGGAGGACTTCAACTTCCAGAATTCCCCAGCCAGCAAAGCTGGGAGTTGAACTCCTCCAGGTTTAAAGTGGCCAAGGTTGGAGACCCCTGCCTTTGAGGACAGAAAGAACATTTTGTTTTTCCTCCAGACCGTTTCATTCGGACTTTTCCATGAATAAGAAAAGGATTATGATGTTTTAGATGTGATCAGCATCAAGAGGAAAGCCACAGTATTACAAAATTCCCCCAGAATAAAACCTTGCTTATTCTCATTTCTTTTCCTTAATGTTCACTGTCACTGCTAGGAGTGCTCATGATTTTATCTTTCCTTAATTACAGGGCGAGTTTGTGGCTGGGAAGTACAAGTGCTTGATTTGTGAGAAGGAGTTTGTGTCTGAGAGTGGGGTCAAGTACCATATAAACACTGTGCACTCTGAGGTGAGGAGCTGGTCTCAAAAGCATGGACCTGTGTAGATTTGCACACACACCATGGTTTTAAGCATTTTTTCTGCCTATTCTTCACGGGTGGGACAAGGGTTCAAAGATTTTCCTGTGCTGAGAATCAAAGTCGGGTCGGCTGCTGGGGGTTCGTAGGGGTTCGGCAGAATCTCTGCCTAAGATTCTGTGCAGTTCAAAGAACCCACAAATCCCACTCCTGGCTGGCCCCACCCCACCCCTTTCAGGAATGCGCAAGTGGCCCATTTTGGATGCAGGTAAGTGCAGGGCGCACATGGAGGCTCAGGGAGGGCAAAAAACAGGCCTACCAGAAGTTCGGGAATTTCAGGAAGGCCTCTGGAGCCTGGGGAGGCCATTTTCACCCTCCCAGAGGCTTGAGGAAAACCTCCGGAGCCCGGGGAGGGCAAAAATGCCCCCCCCCCCGGGGTGCAGGAGGCCGACTAGGCCATGCCCACCATGGCCACACCCACCCAGCAACGGGGTAGAGAACCCCTTGATAAAATTTTTGAAGCCCACCCCTGGTCAAGGTCATCCGTGTGTGTCCAGCATTTATATTATGTCTCTTCCCCTCAGGACTGGTTTGATAACACAAACCCCACTAAGAGCTTTGAAAAACTGGTGAAGCTGCAGCAAAAGGAGGCTGAACAAAAAAGGCAACGCAAGAAGCACACCTCCAGTCGGAGCCGTAAGAAGAAGCTGCGGAGCGCCACTGCAAAGAAGTCACCAAGGCTAGGACCAGATCAGAACCAACGGCAGGGGGGCAAAGTCAGCCATTCTAAGATGGCAGACTGTGAAACTAGGAGCCTGGAAGAAGAGGATTCTCTCCCTTTGAAATACAGTCACAGAAGGGTGAAGAAATAGCCTCTTGCAGGAATTTCTGCTTTGCAGGACAGGTACAGCAGGAGTATCTTATATTTAGGGGAGCATGTACTTAGCAAAACTTGGGGGGAGGAAGAGAGAGGAGAGAAGGGATTGGGTTGAGGAATGAAATCGAACTACTAGTAGTCCTGCTAGTTACTAGTTGGCAACTTTAAGAGATATGGACTTGCTGGCTGAGGAATTTTGGGAGTTGAAGTCCACCCCTCTTAAAATTGCCAAGATTGAAAAATTTCGTTCTAGATCAGGGGTGTCAAACTCACATCGTCATGCGGCATCACATGACGTATCGGGACATTTTTTCCCCTTTGCTAAACCAGGTGTGGGCGTGGCCAGCACATGATGCATCCAGCCCGTGGGCCGGGAGTTTGACAGCCCTGTTCTCGATGAAATGTGGCCATTTGGAAATAGAAAGTTTTCCCAAGTTTTTCAGAGTCAGTCATTCCATTACATGCTACAGGAGAAAATGTATTTAAGTTCTCAAATGTAATATGTAAGAATCTAGCAGGGACAGGACTTGGCAGTAAATTGATCTCAAATTGCTCCCCAAATCCTGACTCAACTATTTGAGGCTTTTTTTCCTTTGAAATGTTTCAGCATCTGCAATTCCAAATGCTGGAAAGAGACCCATCTTGGAAAGGAGAGGGGGGATTTTCCATCTTCCCTAAGAAACAGATATCAATAAATTGGATCAGATATAAGATTTTTCCATGGCAAACAGCCCACATTTTCTTTTTAAAGGACTGTAAAAGTGATTGCAGCTATAGCTTTGTCACTTGGAAATAAGAAAGACACGTTTCTTAATCACAGGAAACAGGAAAGGGAAGAAATTCTTGGCTTGAATTCACCTCTTGCAAGTTCAGTGAAGCTGGAGAGTGTCTGGGAGAAGAACTGGTCAACAGCATGAGTAAGAAGACTTTCCTGAAATTCCACTGTTTCAGTCTAGTTACAGTAAAACAAGATCTGTTATATATTGTTACATACTGAGCCAAGTGCTTGCATAGGATTAAGTTGCAACATATGCTTATGAAATATTATACCACATAGAAAATAAAGTTACTAATCACTCTAGTTGTTTTTTTTAGTGTCAAAATTATCATTTACTGTTACTCTATAATAAAAAGCAAACAACTGAATTCCTTCCAGTGAATTTTACACAAAAGAGTGGAGAACCTGCACAAATGGGCTGGACTCAACTAGTGAGCGATTATATTTAACTCAAATTGATCTGGCCTTGCTTGTGGCTAAACTAAGAATAGAATAGAATAGAATTTTTTATTGGCCAAGTGTGATTGGACACACAAGGAATTTGTCTTGGTGCATATGCTCTCGGAATACATAAAAGAAAAGATACATTCATCAAGAATCATAAGGTACAACACTTAATGATAGTCATAGGGTACAAATAAGCAATCAGGAAACAATATCAATATAAATTGTAAGGATACAAGGAACAAAATTACAGTCATACAGTCATAAGTGGAAGGAGATGGGTGCTGGGAACGATGAAAAGATTAATAATAGTGCAGACTTAGTAAATAGTTTGACAGTGTTGAGGGAATTATTTGTTTAGCAGAGTGATGGCATTCGGGAAAAAACTGTTCTCGTGTCTAGTTGTTCTGATGTGCAGTGCTCTTTAGCATCGTTTTGAGGGTAGGAGTTGAAACAGTTTATGTCCAGGATGTGAGGGGTCTGTAAGTCCCCTTGTATTGTGCAAAAATATTTCCTGAATAATTGATTGACTGAGCCTTTTTAGGAACTCTTTCTCTTCCCACCTCACTGGGCCCCACACCCTCCTCCCCATCCCTCTTAACATGGCTCAGTCATTTTTCTTATAGATCTCCTTCAGGAAGCAGCCAATCCACAGCATAGCTTTCCTATGTGGAAGCCGTGTGGTGCCAACCTGGAAGTGGGCGCCATTTTGGAAGCCGGCCCCTGGGATGATGCACCTCCCTGGATTTTCTCCACCATCGAGGCACCCCATGCTCCACCTAACAACCTGCGCAGTTGCTTAACAACCCCAATAGCAAAAGCAGGGTCATAAAGTAAGGCAATCACACGAGCATTTCACTTAATAACACAACCTGCAACCATAATTGGTAGATTCCATTATGGTCATATGTAGCAATGCTGATAAAAGCTTCTCAAGGGAGAATACAATGGGATTACTGTATTTTTCAGAGTATAAGATGCATTTTTTCTCCCCTGAAAGAGGATGAAATTTTGGGTGCGTCTTATACACCGAATGTAGCCCTGCCCACCTGCCGGCCCCCACCCTTTGGCCTCTGCCTCCAGCAATTTATCTCTTACCAGCAAACAGCCCATTTCAGCTTCAGCACAGCCTGATTATCACAAGCAGTTGATTGTTTGCTGCAAGGAGGCAAATTGCTGGGAGGCAGAGGCAGATTTTTTTTTCTTGTTTTCCTCTCAAAAAAGGTAGGTGCGTCATATAGTCCGGATCGTCTTATACACTGAAAAATACGGTATTTTTCTGACAGACCATTGTAACTCTTAAGAGGTTTTTATTCAGGACTGCTTGCAGATAAGGATTGAGCCTCAAGGAGTTCCAAAACACGTGGGCATTGGGAAGATCATCATTTGGGACGGTTAAAATGTCATGAAAGCATTAACCTCATTCAGTAGGTCTGGCATTACTTTCCCCTTTCTGTAAAACAGTCCCCAACAGGACTGCTATTTTGGCTTTATCCCTCAGCCTCCATGGATTATATATTAACCTGTCCTTCCCTTTGTATACCAAGTCCTTCTCTGGCAATGTGAAACTATAGTTATGCAGTAGGACAAATTCTCTTGGGCAAAGTATTCAGTCAAGCCCAATTGGTTCATATTAACATTTTATTAGCCTCGGGGGGAAAAAATAATCAGACAACATAAAATAAATGAACAAGTTAAATGCTAAATTATCTAAAAAGCAAAGAGCTATTAAATCTATTAGTATATGCAGGCTACACGAATCAGTGTCAATACTCAGAAGAATTCCATTTAAAAAAACGACTCGTATGATGATAGGAAGGAAGAAGTTGATCCCCACTCATATTCACATATGCTTAGCTTGATTTCTGAATGAATCCATTTTTTAAAGGTTTGTATAATACAAGCTCTCGCCAATTGGCCAAATATGCTACAGGTTGATACCACACGCCGTATGCTGTGTCAATGCATTTTCTAGTCTTTTATTGACTTAATAGCAGCAGAGATACTGTTTTGGAGGGCAGGTTTCTGAAATTGAGATACATGCATGTATACTATTTGACATGAGAGATGAAAAGCAATGATCCTCCAACCAGGGATGAAATCCAGCAGGTTCTGACAGGTTCTGGAGAACTGGTAGTGGAAATTTTGAGTAGTTCGGAGAACCGGCAAATACCACCTCTGGCTGGCCCCAGAGTGGGGTGGGAATGGAGATTTTGCAATATACTTCCCCCAGGAGTGGGGAGGGAATTGGGATTTTGCAGCATCCTTCCCCTGAAGTGGGGTATCTTTTCGCTGCCATGTCCACCAAGCCACACTACATCACGCCCACCAAGCCACACCCACAGAACAAATAGTAAAAATTTTTGGATTTCACCACTGCCTCCAATTGTATAGAAGGGATAAATTTGGGGATATTTTCAATGCTATCCTGGTAGAAGATGCTCATCCTACTTGGATGCTTGGTAGTCTATCTTTGTTCGGGTTCAAGAATTCTAAGTGAGGGAATGAGGGCTGGTTTCACTTAGCAGTTATGAATGGGGGTGGTGATCCACATGCCAATCACTTTCTTTGGTTTTTTTATCAGTGTTTATTATAAAAAAAGTTATAACCTCAACTTTTTGCTTTACATTCCTATTAATTCAAAACATTTCTATAACAACAAAGTCAAAACTTAAAATCAAATTTTCATTTTTTTCTGTTTTGAGAGTAAAGTCGAGAAGTAGTTTCCAAATGGAAACAAAACTAGATAAATTCTTTTTAATTAAAGTAGTCAATTAGTTGCCTCCAATTTTGGTCACCACAATGTAAAAAAGATGTTGAGGCTCTAGAAAGAGTGCAGAGAAGAACAACAAAGATGATTAGGGGGCCGGAGGCTAAAACATAAAGAATGGTTGCTGGAATTTGGTATGTCTAGTTTAATGAAAACAAGGACTGGGGTGACATGATAGCAGTGTTCCAATATCTCAGGCGCTGCCACAAAGAAGAGGGAGTCAAGCTATTCTCCAAAGCCCCTGAGGACAGGACAAGAAACAATGGATGGAAACTAATTAAGGAGAGAAGCAACCTAGAACTAAGAGAAATTTCCTGACAGTTAGAACAATTAACCAGTGGTACAACTTGCCTCTAGAAGTTGTGAATGCTCCAACACTGGAAGCTTTTAAGAAGAGATTGGACAACCATTTGTCTGAAGTGGTGTAGGGTTTCCTGCCTGAGCAGGGGGTTGGACTAGAAGACCTCTAAGGTCCCTTCCAACTTCTATTCTATTCTATTCTATTGTCAATTTTGTCATCTCCTCAACTCCATCACTTATTTATCATTTGTCCTTTGATTGTGGGAATTGATAGATCTTTCCATCTTTGTGCAAATAAAAGTTTTGTTGCTGTCAACATATATAGTAACAAAGTTCCATTTTCCAAGTTCTTTATCCAGCAAACCAAAAGACTTCTGGTTTCAGTTTTATATTTGTTTTAAGAACCTTCTGAATTAAAACAAAGATCTGGTCTCAATATTTCTTTGTTTCGTCATAGGTCTACCAGAGATGGTAAAAAGTACCCTTTTTACAAATACATTTCCAACATACATTTGAAATTTCTTTATACACATCTTTGACCATTTCTCAGGCATTAAGTACCAATGAGGCATCATTTTAAAACAGTTTTCTTTCAGATTGCAGTTGAATATAAACTTCATTTGTCCACATTTTTTCCTACTGATCAAGCATTATATTGCAACCAAAGTTCTTTGCCCATTGAGTTATACAGTCTTTTCAACAGTTCACGTTTCGGTCACTTTCTAATTGGATTACTGCAAGGGTTTATAAACCTAATTCCTCCTTCCAAAAATAATCCAAACCACACCAACTAATCAATGCCAGTCCCTCTGTTAAGTGTTTAAGTGTCCTAGTTGACTGTCTTGGCTGAATGCAGTTTCTCTGGCCATTGCATTTAGTTTAGTTTAGTTTAGTTTATTATATTTATATACCGCCCTTCTCCCGAAGGACTCAGGGCAGTGAACAGCCATGATAAAAACAATATACAACAAAAATTTAAAAACTTAAAATAATTCAATCATTGGGCAAATTTAAAACACCCAACTAAAATCATTTTAAAACCCCTATCAAAACCCAATTTAAAATCCTTTATCCAGTCAGACCAGCTTGCTGGAATAATAGGGTCTTCAGAGCACGACGGAAGGCGCGGAGGTCGGGGATCCTTCGTATGTCCGGCGGCAGTTCGTTCCATAGGGCCGGGGCCCCCACAGAGAAGGCTCTCCCCCTGGGGGTTGCCAACCTACATTGTTTGGCCGACGGCACCCTGAGGAGGCCCTCTCTGTGGGAGCGTATTGGTCGGTGGGAGGCAATCGGTGGTAGAATGCGGTCCTGTAAATAATCAGGTCCTAAGCCATTTCACTCCTCCTGCAATGCAAGGCCAGAAGCTCTACCACTCAACCAGCCACGCAGATGGGCCAAGTCCTGCATACAGCCATGCTCCCGCCACAGCTGCTCCATTTGTTTCTGCAATCGGTGCTTATGCTCCTGCAGCTTCTGTACTCGCTGGACCAGCTGGTGCAGCTCCTTCTTCAGCTCCTTATTCTGCTGGCAGACTGTCTGGCTGTGCTCCTGCAGGCACCTCACGGCCAACTCTTGCACCTGCTGAGCCAAGCCCTCCACTTCCTGCCCTGCCACCTGTTCCTGGGCCATCTTCTCTTTCAAGGCTCGTATCTTGGCTGCCTCCAGGTGCTGCCTATGCTGCTTCTGCGCAGCCACCAACTCCTTCTCCAGCTCCCGAATGTGAGATGTCTGCTTTTGTTTCAGGGCTTGGACCTGGTGTAGACCCTCCAATTCAGAGCTGAGGCGGGCCAGCTCAGCTTCCTTCTGGAGCAGCTGTTTCCGCAAAGCTGCCTCTTGCTCCTGGGAACGGGCAATCACTTCTTGGTGCTGCTTCTGGATTTGGCGCAGCAACTCCTGGTTCTCTTCGCTTAGAGAAACTACAACACCCTGGCGCCTTCGGGCACGCTTGGCTAGGTAGCCGGCAAACTCCCGGCTCTCATTCTGGAGATCTTGTGCCTCTTGCTGGAGGAAATCATATTGTGCCCTCAGCTGTGCCCTCCTCCCTCTCAAATCCTCCAGGTTTCGGCAGATGCTCTCATATTCCTGTTGCACTGGCAGCAGCGATGCATTATCTGGCATGGATTCCATAGTGTCCTTGGGAGTGGCCCTTGAAGCTGTACGCTTGGACCTGGCTGGCTGTGCTTTCTTTTTCTTTCGGAGCTTCGGAGCCATCACTGGAGATCTGGAAAGCAGATGGACATTATGTTAAGGTCAAGAGAGTGTTGGAAGGAAAATCCATCTGGTTCATTCCAAGCTGGGAGAAAGATGCTGGAAACAACATGGAGGCTGACTGGAAAGAAATGTTCTGTTTATTGATGAACCACCAACCTCATGTGATTCTGGGCAGCTAACAAAATGGAGTTGAGAGTGGGTGGGTTTTATACCTTCTTTGGGCTTTGTATTTGAGCTTCCTGTTCCTGTGCAAGAACATGTCCTTTAATATTCTATTGGCTGTTGTCAGATTCCTATGGGGTCATGGCTGGCTCTATAGCCAAAAAAGGAAATGCAAATCCTAGGTGCTTGTCTGAGGTAATCTGGTCAATCTTTTGTTTGTTGCTTATCTGAGTTTCTGTCTTGACCCAGTCTTTCTGAATGGATCACCAAAATTGCATTTTTAAAAGCTGGCCTCCTCAGTTTCTGCTTGGGGCAGGGAAACGGGCTGGTTTCTGCCTCCCTTCAGATTTTTTAATTTCTCCTTTAGGGGAAATATTTTATCCTGCCTTTTTAATATTTCCCAAAATATTTCATTCTTCAGGGTGGGTGGGATTTCCACAAGAGAAAACAGAGAGAAAAACCTTGACCGAGATTCCCTTAAGAGAAGGGAAGAAAAAGGGCATTTGCTCCAACCACCTTAATTTAATTTAATTTAATTAATCACATTTCTATGCCGCCCAACTCCCAAGGGACTCTGGACGGCTTACAACAGAAATAATACAAAAAGTGACATAATTTTTTTAAAAAACAACATTATAAAAACATTTTAAAAACCTTGAGAGGTGAGATCAATCCAAGGCTCAAGCTCATGCAGAAATCCTTTCCTAATTTTTTTGTGGGATTCAGGTTCAGCAGTGGAAAAGCTGGGCCAGGCAGAACTAAAGGGATTCTAAAGATGGAAGAAGATGTGAGTGAAAATCCAGGGGGTGTCATACAGTAGCTTAAGAAGGAGGCAGTTAGCGTGAAGGAGGTGATACAGAAGGGGGTGTTCTGCTGGGGGTGGGGGGTGGGAAGAAGCTCAACAAAGAAGCTCAGGGAGCCTACCTGAAAGTTCTTCTGCAGCTTTGAACAAATCCCTTGTGTGTTTTCTTGTTGCTTAGTGCCTGGGAGTGGGTGGAGTCAGGGGGGAGGAGGGAAGAATGGCTTTCTTTCATACCCATCTGGTGATTCAGGAGCTAAGACTGAAAATTCATCCTTCCAAGCAGTCTGGCTTGTCATAGCAGCTGCTGCTAAACTGAGGAGTTGGGTGACAATACATTTCTGTACATACACAATAGATATTCAGCCCGGCCAGCTCTTACTGCCGTTACAACGTTGAAAATGAAGCCTTTGTCTGCTTCTTGAAGCTTCTCCATTTGAGGGGTTTCAGAGCCTGGTTGCTTACTTGTAGATGTTTCATTATCTAAACTAGACAACATCATCAGTGCTGCACTGCACAGCCCTGGTGATCTTACCTAGTTTGGGTAATGAAACGCCTGCAAGAAGGTAACCAAGGACTTGATTTCAGCTCTGAGCAATAAATATTGTCCTTTATTGGCTTCTCCATTTGTTCAGCCATTTGGTGGAGTGAAAACCCTCAGTCTTAGTCATCTTTGATGAGGTGTTGCCAATGAGAGCAAGTGAGTGCTTTGTTTATATTATATACTGTATTTAATCAGATCAGTTTACACATATGCATGATCTCCTCTCTCTCTCTCTCCCTCTCCCTCTCCCTTATCTCTCTGTCTCTCTCATCTCTGTGTGTATATTTCTGTCTCTCTTTCATCTCTGTCTCTCTCTCTGTCTCTCCCTCTCCCTCTCTCTTATCTCTCTGTCTCTCTCATCTCTGTGTGTATATTTCTGTCTCTCTTTCATCTCTGTCTCTCTCTCTGTCTCTCCCTCTCCCTCTCTCTTATCTCTCTGTCTCTCTCATCTCTGTGTGTATGTTTCTGTTTTTCTCTAATCTCTCTCTCTCTGTCTCTCCCTTTCCCTCTCCCTCTCTCTTATCTCTCTGTCTCTCTCATCTCTGTGTGTATATTTCTGTCTCTTTCATCTCTGTCTCTCTCTCTCTGTCTCTCCCTCTCCCTCTCCCTCTCTCTTATCTCTCTGTCTCTCTCATCTCTGTGTGTATTTCTGTCTTTCTCTAATCTCTCTCTCTCTGTCTCTCCCTTTCCCTCTCCCTCTCTCTTATCTCTCTGTCTCTCTCATCTCTGTGTGTATATTTCTGTCTCTCTCTAATCTCTCTCTCTCTCTGTCTCTCCCTTTCCCTCTCCCTCTCTCTTATCTCTCTGTCTCTCTCATCTCTGTGTGTATGTTTCTGTCTCTCTCTAATCTCTCTCTGTGTCTCTCCCTCTCCCTCTCTCTTATCTCTCTGTCTCTCTCATCTCTTTGTGTATGTTTCTGTCTCGCTTTCATCTCTCTCTCTCTCTGTCTCTCCCTCTCTCTCTCTGTCTCTCCCTCTCCCTCTCCCTTATCTCTCTGTCTCTCTCATCTCTGTGTGTATGTTTCTGTCTCTCTTTCATCTCTGTCTCTCTCTCTGTCTCTCCCTCTCCCTCTCTCTTATCTCTCTGTCTCTCTCATCTCTGTGTGTATGTTTCTGTCTCTCTCTAATCTCTCTCTCTCTCTCTCTCCCTCTCCCCCTCTTCTCTGTCTCTCTATCTCTTTGCTTCTGGGAGTTGTTGAGAGTAGAATTTAGGGCCCCTCTTGCTTCCAAGAGGCACTCTATGTTGCAGGACCTTTTTAAATATGGATATTTAAGACTTCCATTAATATTTAGGGTTCAACTGACTACTGAAGAAAAACCGTAAGCCCCAATAACTGTGGAGAAAAGACTTATGCAAAGTTGGCAAAGGGATTTGAGGGGCACTGTCTGTCACAATAGGTAGTGGATAAATCAATATAATCCTTCCAGGTTTGACATTTACAGTCTTGGACTGCAGTGTGTTTTTCCTTTTTGCTAAAGTGCTGGAGTTCGGCTCCATGTAGGCTGGCAGAAGAGATTCCATTTGCAAATTGCAATTATTCTATCCACTGGGTGATAACTCTTACAGTTAATTTATATTTCTGTTCTAATTTATTCTTAACAGGAGATTATGCATTTTAAGGTAGGATTCCTTCCCCCCCCCCCTTTCTCTCTTTATTCATTAAGAGCTTTGGTATTTTCTTGCGCTTGTTAGCAACATTATCTGATTTAATATTTGATGTAATTTTATCTAAGCCTCTTTCATGGTGGTTTTAAACAACGTCCAGCTGTTCAGGAGAAATGTCAGTCTTTTAACTCTCCTTTTCTTTCTTTTGAAGCAAGTACTTTAAGAAGTTTCTTCTAACTGTGATTAGCAATCACATTAATAGTGGCTGGTCCCACCCTGGGGTGGCAAAGATGTCTTCTAGTAGAAATACTTAAACAATTCCATGATTAACTGATGCAGCCATCAAAGACCCTCCTGCCAAAAGTTCCATCTGCTGTTTCAGCAGAAACTATGTGTCCAGAATGAACTTCAGATTACATACCAACCAGGGGTGAAATCCAGCAAGTTCTGGAGAACTGGTAGCGGAAATTTTGAGCAATTCAGAGAACCAGCAAATTCCACCTCTGGCTGGCCCCAGAGTGGGGTGGGAATGGAGATTTTGAAATATCCTTCCCCCAGGAGTGGGGACGGAATGGAGATTTTGCAGTATCCTTCCCCCGCCATGCCCACCAAGCCACGCCCACCAAGCCACACCGCGCCCACCAAGCCATGCCCACAGAACCGGTAGTAAAAAAATTTGGATTTCACCACTGATACCCAGACTTAACCGAGACAAAACCGAGTGGCTGTGGGTATTGCCTCCTAAAGACTATGTTGACTGTCCATCCTTGGTTCTGGGGGAGCAGAAATTGTCCCCCTCAGAATGGGTTCGCAATTTGGGTGTCCTCCTAGACTCACAGCTAAGATTAGAGCAACATCTGACAGCTGTGGCTAGGGGGACCTTTGCACAGGTTCGCCTGGTGCACCAATTGCGACCCTACTTGGATCGGGAGGCTCTTCTCACAGTCACTCATGCCCTTGTCACCTCACGGTTAGATTATTGCAATGCGCTCTACATGGGGCTACCCTTGAAAAGTGTTCGGAGACTACAGTTGGTCCAGAACGCAGCCGCACAAGCTGTCATGGGTGTACCTAGGTACACCCACATTACACCAATTCTCCGTGAGCTGCACTATAGGGCTCCCTATTGGTCTCCGGTCACAATTCAAGGTGTTGGTTATTACCTTTAAAGCCCTACATGGGCCTCAGGGCCAGAGTATCTTCGAGACTGCCTTCTACCGAATAACTCCCAACGACCAGTAAGATCCCACAGAGTTGGTCTCCTCCGGGTCCCGTCAGCTAAACAATGCCGGCTGGTGGGCCCATGGGGGAGGGCCTTCTCTGGGGCTGCCCCAGCTCTCTGGAACCAGTTACCTCCTGAGGTCCAGACCATCCCCACCCTATTGGCCTTCCGAAAAGCGGCGAAGACCTGGCTTTTCTGGTATGCCTGGGGCTGTTGATCTCGCTCTTGCGATCCGGCGAGATCCGGCCATGAATGGTGTGAATGAGTTTTAATGTTTTAAATTCTTAAATGTTTTTTATAATGATTTTAAATGCATTGTGAGCCGCCCTGACTCTTTGGAGAGGGGCGGCATACAAATTGAATTAATAAAATAATAAATAAATAAATACCAACTCCTTCTGGGCAACACCCCCCCCCCATTACCTACACTACAAACTTCATGAGAAAAGAGATATTGGAAGTTAGGTGGAAAGTTTTCAGGAATGGCTGAGTCCATGTAGGATTTTTCAGGAGGTGTGCTAGTATCTCCTCCAAGGCAAACAATATTATTCAAAGAAGCATTAACAGCCTCCTGAATCCAGCTACACACACCCTGCCCTGGAAGAGACAAGAAAGGCAGGGGTCAAGCCAAGTTGAATGTGGCAACATTCAAACCATAGAAGAACTTCTCCACTTCTTCTGATACTACATGTTCAAAAGAATCACAGATAATTCTACATGACATTGTTCCTTGCATCACAGTAGACTCTGTCCAGCTGGTTTCCAAATGAAAGTGGATATGAGCATCTTTATCTTCTAAGAAACCAGCAACATTAACTGTGGTTTGGAATTGTGGTTTGCCCATCCTTCTCTAGAAGGGTCTGGGTTTCATGGAACAGGTCTGTGGGTCCAGAGTCCATGGATGTAATAAGTGGAAAGAATTGATATGTTTTGCTCTTATTCTACTTTATAGATTCAGACATGAGCCTTGGCGCAGCAGACTAAAGTGCTGTTAACTAGTACCAGCTGCCTGCAATTACTGCAAATTCAAATCTCACCAGGCTCAAGGTTGACTCAGCCTTCCATCCTTTCGAGGTAGGTAAAATGAGGACCCGGATTGTGGGGGCAATAAGCTGACTTTGTATAAAAAAGAACACTGCTTAGGGGGGGCCAAAAGCCCTACTAAGCAGGTATATACAAAAGTTATGAAGGCTATTGCTTAACGCATTGTAAGCCGCCCTGAGTCTCTAGAGAAGGGCGGCATATAAATCGAACCAATAAATAAATAAATAATCAGTGTTCAGTATCCACTTCTGATTGTACAGAGTGGCACAGAGTGGTTAGAATGCAGTAGTTGAGGCTACTTCTGCTGTCTTCTGGCTGCCAGCAGTTTGGAAGTTCAATTCTCACCGGCTCAGGGTTGACTCAGCCTTCCATCCTTCCGAGGTGGGTAAAATGAGGACCCAGATTGTTGGATATTCTGACTCTGTAAATTACTTAGAGAGGGCGGTAAAGCACTGTGAAACGGTATATAAGTAAGTGCTATTGCTACATTTGGTTTGATGTCCACCTTCAAAAATCTAAAATCTAAAATTGCCCAATAACTTACCAAAGTCACATTTTAAAAGAAATCATTTTCTTCCTTTCTTTTCTGTGTGCTATTGTCTTTTCCTATTTCTCCTGTTTTTCCTTGTTTTCTGTAGGAAATGCCTTTTAATATTTGGACTTATGCCCAAATAATTTCAAGCTAGGTAAAGGTAAAGGTTCCCCTTGCACATATGTGCTAGTCATTCCTGACTGTAGGGGGCGGTGAGCATCTCCATTTC